ACCCCAGGAAGTCCAGCAATAAAGATATTTGAAAAAGAAAAAGAAGGAAAGCTCCTCTTTCCAGTCCAGAACTGCACAAAATAATGTGCAGGAGCTGGGAGAGGTAGATAGAGGGGTCAGTCCAAGGAAACCAAAACAAATTCTGGTAACTGGTCTGTAAGTTAGTAGAAATGAGGAAAAAAGGGGAAACCAGCTCAAACTCCTGCAGATCATCAATAAAGTAGCATTTATTGAGCACTTAATATGACACAGGCACCTGGCTAAGTGCTGGGTACATGAAGGAAAAACATTTGCTGACCTCATGGAGCTCCTAGATGGGGAAGATAGCATGCAAACCACTATATACAAACAAAATGTACATGGAGGGTAAATTGGAAATAATCTCAGAGGGAAGACACTATCATTCAAAGGCAATAGGGATGGCTTTTTGTAGAAGGTGTGATTTTAGCAAATTTTGAAGGAAGCCAGGAAGCAAGATGAGAAAGGAGAAGATTCCAGGAATGGGGGACAGCCAGTGAAAAGGTACAGAGTTGGAAGAAAAAGGAGGTCAGTGTCACTGGATTGTAGAGAGGTGGAGTGGGAGTAAATTAGAAGAAGACTGCTAAGGTAGGAAGGGGGTCAGGTTATGGAAGGCTTTAAAAACCAGACACAGGATTTTATAGCTGATCCTGGAGGTAATAGGGAGCCACTTAAGTTTTCTGACTAGGGGTGACATGGTCAGACCTCTGCTATGGAGGCTAGCTAAGAGCAAGGAAAACACCAGGGAGATAATACCTGCTTTGTTTCCTTCACTTCCCTTCTAATTATTTATTCCCTTTCTAGATATCCAATCATCTCTTTGACAATCTTCCCAGAATTTTCCCTAGTTTGCTGGCTCTGTTCCCTTTTATTTTTTGAAAATTGGGAAATTTGCCTTTCTCCAATTTTGTGACACCTCTCCCATTTTCTGTTATCTTTCAAGTATCACTGACTGTGGTTCAATTACTAACTGCCAATTCTTTCAGGAGCTGAAGACCCAGTTCTGGGCCAGATGACTTCAATCCTTCAAGGGCAGCCAAACAGCCTCTTAATAACTCCTTAATTATCTTGGATACCAACTCCTAATCAGTTATTTGTGTTTTGTCACTTTTAGCAAAAAGATCAACCTCTTTTGCAGAGAGAAGAGAAACAAAATAAGAATTTAACAGCTCTGCCTTCTCTCCTGTCAGTTAGCACAGTTCCACTTTTCCCCAAGGAAAGGTCCTATCCTCTCTTTGATCATTTTTTTTTCTCTCAAGAGAAGAGAGCTAGTGTATAGAGTGCACGGAGCACTGAGCCTGGAGTTCAAATCCAACCTCAGATCCTTACTAGCTGTGTGACCCTGGGCAAGTCACTCAATAGCTACCTCAGTTTCCTCTACTGTAAAATGAGATAATAACAGCAGCTACTTTCCTGGGTTGTTGTGAGAAGCAAATGAGATTACATTTGTAAAGTACTTATCACCTTGCCCCCTCCTCAGAAACAAGATAGCTAAAAAAAACCTTCTTCTAAGCTTTTGCATTTCTTAAACCATAAGTGCCATACTCTTATATTTATCTTTTGTTACCTGGCCCTGCTTCCACCTTCTGTAAATTTTGTTTTAAAATGTTTTAAATGTTTGTTTAAAATGTTTTAAAATGTTTCATGAATTCCTTGTGCACTTACAACAGTCTCTTCCGAAAAATTCCATTTCTCTTCCTCATTGGAATTGTTTCCTTTTGTGTTTTCAGAATTTCAATCTCAGGTATCTTTCATTCTTTCCGAGCTGACTTCCCTTGAGGCATTTTTCTCCAAGGAATCGTATCTATATTTCCTATGAACCCAATGAAATCTGCTTTCCCAAAATCTAGATGTCAGATTGTGCCCATTTTTCTTTATTCTCTATGATAAACTCTAGGATGGAGTGGTCACATACCCTCAAGGTTTCCACCATTTCCACCCCAACAACTAATTCCTCTTTGTCAATGGAATCAGATTCAGATTCAGATTTCCTCTTGTTGGTTCCTCTGTTTTTTGAAGAATTAAATAATCACTAAGTTAAGTCAAGAAGTCATTAACTGCTCTCTTTTTAGGAGAGAGAGCTCCAGCAGATGTCCAAATATTTGAATTCCCCCATTTCTACAATATCATGCTTGTAAATGAGGCTTGTGTTTCTGTTTTCCAAACTTATCTATTCTTCCTTCTATCCAGGTACTCTGTAGTATACTCCAAAGACAAAAATCACACCTATCTATTCCTCCTTTGACATTCACTCAAACATTCTCCATCATGCTTTAGCCCTCTGGTTGCTGGATTTCCTCACATAAGCACACCATCTTAACGTCCAATGCTAGCTTTCCTCCTAACCTCCTTTAAGTTAACCTGTTTCTTTTAGGAAAAAAAATAAACCAATGCTTCAGTCATGAGTTTCCTCCCACTAAGACTTAAGGAAACCTATGAGGTCAAGTTTGCCCATTTTGTTAGAATCTCTAATGCTCATTTGTTGACAGAACTTTGGGTATTTGTGTATAAACAGTTGAGGCTATGTTTGTTTTTTATTACTGGCTTAATTCTTGTGTTTTGTCTCCTCAAAATTTCTGGGTATCTTAGCTGCTATTCATTCTTCTTTGAGGCTACTTCCTATAGTATCTAACTTTGGCTGTACATATAGGCCATCTTTTCCTTTATCTATTCTTTTAGTTTTGATAAGAACTTAAACATCTGATAAGATTTATAGCATACCAGGCAAATACATTCCTACCATGTTTTTGTTATGTGTACTCTATCTCTGGCCAAGAATCTATCAATCCTATATTGTAAGCTATGATCCAGAAATCTATTTCCCATTCTCAGACAACACCTTCATTAGCCAGCTGTTCATGTCACAAATTAATTTTTCTCTTCCGTATCTACTGTCTTTAGCAAGCAACAGTGAGGAATGTATAATCTGTGCCCCTATGATCTTCACTTTCTTGCTTTTCATAATCACTGGCAATGCTTTTTAGGTTCCTTCTGACAGTGCCATTTCTGCCCACAAAAAAAAAAGAAAGAAAACACCAAAAATAGGTAGTAGTCTCCTATTTTGGTAAGTCTTGGGAAGTTATCTATTAGATCTTGGATATATGCCTCAGGAAGACATTACCCACCTCTATTGATGTTATCAAGTCAGCAAACAGCTGTTTCACTATCTTTAAGGTAGAACAACTAACTAATACTAGTCTTCTTCCATCCCTTAACGGATGATGTCTCACTTGACCGCTTTTGTGGTTCTAGTGTAATAAACAGTTTCTTCCTTCTCAGAGCATCTATCTCCTCTCTAGGAAGAGTATCATATTTGTTTTTAAGCCCTAAGTGTACAGCATTCTTTTCCTTTTTTTTTTCTTGTCTGTGTAACTCTTTTATGGTCCATCATCCTGACAAGGGCTGTCATCCCTCCTCTACCACAAATCTCAGTTATTCTACTAAAGGTTAGTATCTGTTTCCTTTAGGAGACTTCAGTTTAACTCGTAACTTCTGGAGCACGGCAAGGCATTCATCTAGTTTCTTCATCTTGTCCTGGGAGAGAGATCAACCTATACTTAGAACACAACTAATAGTCACTCAGCTCGACAGAAATGCAAATATTCCACACTCCATGTAAATCTTTGCACAGGCTCTGATTCAATCTAGCCATTAGCTCACTAATGTTCAGACTCCTTAAGAGTCTGCCCAATATGACAGATATTCTAATAAACCATGTCTTTGACTGAAAGAAGGCTTGGGTCAAATTCATTCGGGCAGGACTCACAGGTTGTGATATTGGGGTCCCAGCACCCCTAAACCCCTGAATCTCATCATTTTGGTGGCCCATGCGGGATAACTGCCTAACCCCAAGTTCTTCTCTAGCCAAGACTGGAAGGTATGTAAGCCTCCCCCCCACTTTCTTGCTCTGCAGTTGGGGTTGCTCTCCAAGTGGAGGTACTTTTCAGGCAGACAGTTATGAGGCTGTCTCACACTCAGCCTGACGCTCTCAGGCTCTCGGTCCACTGGGTCGGTTTGAGGCCCTGGACCTGGGTATACCTTCCACAGCATAGAGGACAAGGACAGGACACCCTATCAGGAAGTGTATGCTCAATTCTGTTAATTCTCTTGGAGCTAGAGAATTGGGGAAAACTGCAGTTGGTTTTTGGTTCCCTGAGGCTTACTTCCTTCTTTCCGTCTACACCCCGAATCCTCCTTTATGGAGGTTACAAGGAAAAGTTAGAATGGCTAAAAATATCTTGGCAGATTCTGGAGGTTTTGTGATTGATCATTAAGGAGTTTTGAAACTCCTCCTTACAACCCTAGTCACTCTTTTCTCCCACTCCCTTCCTTTGAGTCAAGAGGGTATCTGTTAACCCCTCTCATAGAAGAAGAGAATTTCACCGTTTACCCCTCACCTTTGATTTTACCCTCCCCCAACTGGGAAAGGAAGGAGGGGGGAGGGGCAGCAGCTACAGTATGTGCCCCCCTGGCAATGGCCTTGGGCCCTAGGGCAACGTTTGCCTGGAAGCATCACCCAGGTTCAGCACATCCTGCTCGAGGTAAAGAAGCTAGCCTATGAACTTGTGTAAGCACGCTCTTTTAAATTTTTAGTTTTAACTGTTAATGATGAGATGTTGATTCTCTGTGTAAAGAAATTTGGAAATGAATTTAACAAAATTAAAGTCACCTGATTGGTAATGGGTTTGTTTCAAGTTTCAAACTGGTGAACATTTTCTATCAGTTATGTCAAGCAACTTTTCATAATTTGGTTACTGCTAAAATAATTTGGCTATTGTTGGTTATTGTTTTAATGTGTAAATTTGCCAAAAAGCTTGTCTGGGTTATGGCTTGCTGAGAATTTGCAAATGCATAGAAATCTCTAATGATTGGCTTTTTACACCAGGAAAATTTTAAATTTGAGATGTAAATCCTGGAAAAGTTTTTCCTAAACTGTGATTAGTGAAACTTGTTGTTTGAAGTAAAAGCTCAGAGGATTTTACTGAGTGGTCTGATGAATCATAATCCATTGATAATCAATAATCCACCATCTGAGAGAAATGCCACAAGCCTCACAGAGAATGTGATACTGGTGGGAAGTCAGCATCAGGAAAAGCTGAGAGGACAATTTTAGCCTCAGTCTAAAATGGGATCCTCCTGGTTCAGTTTCCCCATTATGTTCCTTTGAAAAGGAATGCTACCCATCAGGCTACTCCAGAGTCTGGCTGTGAGGTGGATTTGATACTTCATGGTTGGAAAACTGAATTATCTGAATCCAAAGAGAGCTAAGGATATTTTATCCTGTCATATTGGGGCCCTGCAGTTTTTTCTGTCAGATTTGTGTCTTCCAGACTATAGGCCATTCACCTACAGTTGGGAGCAAACAGCAGGTACCAGCCAATGTCTCCCCATCGTTCCTTGAATGTAGCCTGTGCTTGGTTCCAGTCAACCTTCTCTTTGGGACCCCCTCGAGGCAGGGACAGCTCTATGCCACTTGCCAGCAGGAAGCAGTTTCAGAAGCCAAAAATTTTGCCCCTTACCCCAAAAGAATTTAGGTCCCATTTGTTTGAGGGGGGAATGATGAGGATGGGATCTAGACCTCAAAAAGGAAAAACCCTGGACTTTCCCACGTGGCCAAATCTCTGGCATTAGCCTGAGGCTGTAATCTCATAAACTGGCCTTTCATTGTGGTTACACCCAATCTCTGTTACCCTTAACCTAGCCTAGACCTTCCTATGTCCCCCTGCCACTTCCTGCCCTTAATCCTATCTAGGTTCCATTCTCCCTTGGCCACCTCTGGAGTTCTATTACCTCATAGACTACTTGGACACTCCTAGATCCCTCCTATAGTCTTTCTGTATACAAGGTCCATTTTGTCTCCATTAAGATGCTCTGATTCTTATAATCTAGCCATGAGCTCACTAATGTTCAGACTCCTTAAGCGTCTGCCCAATATGACAGATGTTCTAATAAACCTTGTCTTTGGCTGAAAAAAAAAATATAGCTTTGCACAATTTCACTATTCTCCATAACAGTTGAGATTTCTAGCTTTTTTTTTTAACTACCTATAGATGTTTATACTTCAGTTTTAAGTACCTGGTTATAACTTTTAACGATGATTACTTCTTAGTAACTGGACTATTTCACTCAAATTCCAATTCTTTATCTCAAAAATTCCACAGACATTTCAGTTTAGTATCAATATACAGTCTCTCCTGTTTGATCAATTTGCTCCACCCAAGCCACTCAATCAATTTGTTTAATCCACTAATTACCTTATCTCACTTACATAGCCTCTCTTGCCTAGCTTCTTTTTATCCTTTCTGAGTCAACCTCTTAAGGTTTTATTCCCTAATCCTTTTAATGTCTTTTAATTCTGCTCAATCATCTTCCATCTTGGTTTCCTTACAATCTAGAGGCAAGATATGAACTAGTATTTGCTCTTGGAGATGGCCTTAAAATTTTCGTCAATTTCTCCCCAAATTTCCCAAATTGTTCCTCTCCATATTCAGACTTGGGCCTTCTTCACTAGTCCAAATTCCTCAAAATAGCCTAAATATTTTTTTCTCATTTGGCATAAATCCTTTTTCTCTTCTCCTACTCATTTTCCCACAACCTTATCCTGTGGAAGAGAGAAATAGACAAAGGATGATTCAAAAACAATTGAACTCAATAACCCAGTGTTTGATAAATTTGAGAATATATATTACTTGGGGGAAGAATTCCCTATATGGCAAGAATCATGAGGAAAATAGGGAATCATTTTGCATAAATTAGGTTTCACTGTGTGCCACAATAAACTCAAAATGGATACATGACCTGAATGTCAAAGGTCACCATTCTGGGAAGGGGAAAAAAAAAAATAGAACCAGATCAGTTATCTTATACAAGGTATAGCTATATGGAACGAATGTTTAACCAAACAAAGTAAAGAGGTGATCACAAAAGATGAAATGGATAATTGTAATTACATAAAATTTAAAAGTATGGTCCCCGTTTTTGCATGGATCAAATGAATGCAAACAGGATAAGAGAAGTGATCAACTGGGAAACAAAAAAATCTTCCCAACAACTATCTTTGATCACAGTCTGATATGCAACATAACACCTTCCACTAAAACTTCTGCCAGGATTAGCTGATCACTTTTAATCTCATCACAATGCTTCTAACTCAAGTTTTTGATACCTCCTCCCTCAGCCACCTCTCCCCTCTGATTTGAGGGCTGGAAAGTAGAATTCTAAATTCCTCCCAAAGCTTTCCTTTATAGAGAGTAGAAATTGGACTTTTAGCTCCCTCCACCTTCCATGTGCAGTTCTGTTTGGTTTCAACTTTATGTAACAAGATGCCCTTGTGCTGGGTGCCTCCTATGTGACCCTCCCCATCAATTTCCACTTTCTGTTGATGTGTTGTCTCCTGCCATTAGTTGTAAGCTCCTTGAGGGCAGTGACTGTCTTTCTTTTTCGTATTTGTATCCCCAGCACTAAGCAGAGTGCCTAGCACATAGAAGGCACTTAACAAATGCTTAATGAATTGAATTAATAGTGAAGTTATACAAATATAGAAGACCAAAAGCCATTCTCCAATAGATAAGTGGTAAAGGGATATAAACAAATAATTCTCAAAATGACATCAAACTTTTAATAACCATATGAAAGACTGTTCCAAATCATTAGTCATAAGAGGAATGTAATTCAAAATAACTCTGAGATTTCATTTTATACCCAGGAAACTGGCAAAGATGACCTAGGATGGGAAAGTGCATGTTAAACAGGAAGGGTTGTGGAAAAAATAGTGCACTTTGTACCTAGTGGTAAAGCTGCGATGTGGTCCAACAACTCTGGAAAGCAATTTGAAATTATGCTAAGAAATTCACTAGTCAACGAGCAATTACTAAGTGACTAAAATGATCTTTTTCAAAGAGATTCCATGGCTAAGCATGTATATCAAAAAAGTTCTCAGATAAACCAAGTATTTTAACAGTACTTTTTATAGTAGCAATGGCCTGGAAACAAACTAGATTGTCCCTTGACTGAGGAACAGCTAAGAAACTTATGTCTGTAATAGAATATTATCATTCTATATGAATATAATGAAATACAGAAAAGCATGGGAAGAACTGAAGCAAAGCAAAGCAAGTAGAACTGGGAAAACAAAACGCACAATGATTACACCAATGTAAATAAAAAACAACAACAAAACAAATAAAACTCAAGGCTGATTATGATAAATATAGAGAACCATAAAAATTGATGCAAAGTAAAGCAAGAAAAACCAGAACAGTATGTACAATGATATAATAATGCAGATAGAAAAAACAAAATAGAAACAGAATGCTGTTAAATCATCCCAAAGAAGAGATGTGATTAAACTTTTCTCCATCTCTTTCAGGGTGGGCAGGGGTTTGGGGTAGGTGGGTTACTACAAGGGTGAAACTCTACATACAGTGTAGACCAACCAACTTGATTGGTGTGTTGGTTAGTTTTGTTAGTTTTTTTTTCCTCTTTTTCATTCTTTGTAATAAAGGGTAGCTCTCTTAGAGGGGTAGATGGGAAAGATATATTGGGAAATGTGGTTGATATAAAAACTGAAGGTAGTACTGAAAACATGTTCAAGTACTACATAAGGACCATATAAATATATCTGCCATAGTGGGGTACTCTCTTCTTTTCACTTCCACCTTATCTTATTCCCTTCCCTGGCTGGAGCACTCAGAACCCATCAGGTTACTTGACTATTCACACCTTGGATGAAAGTCACCAAACTATGTTCCTTCCAGTGAGATGATGGACCATTAAGCCTTGCCATCTGCTCTCAGCCACTGTCCATTCATAATGCCTTACTTAGTACCACCTCTGCCTCTCCCCTGCCCAATCCCTTTCAATTATCATCCAATCTGCTTACAATACCTAGATGCTTATTGACTGACTGATCTTTCAGCCTTGCCATCCACCCTTCTGATATACTTTTAGAACTTCGCCAACTGTATTATATGTGTTATCTCACACAGAGAGTCTAAGTTCCTTGAGAGCAGAGGCAGTAACCATTTTTCTACTTGTATCTTTAGTGCTGATTGACATACAGTGTTTAATAAATGCTCCTTTATTCGTTTACCATCAACTATTACTATTATGAATTTGTTCATGTATTTACTTAAAAATAATTTTTGAATTTAGAGTTTTGGATAAGAATATGTTGATTTTCTTCCTGAAGAACCTTATGGACAGAAACACTAAAATATGGATTTTTAAACTACTGAAAAAAGGCATTTACCCAAAGAACATTTGTAATGGGATGATCCTATTTAATGAATGTGCATTACCCACTAATTCATTTTTTCAAGCAAAATAACTGTCATCCCCAAGTCCTCAACCAGTTGTGCTCCAAATTCTTTGGCAATCATGAAATCTGGGATCACATATTCCTGAAATTTCTTCCCTCTCTTTTCTTCTCTTAAGCAAGCTGTTTCCCCTGACTTCTCTTAATTTTAATTGAATTTGACCATAATCTCTTTTAGTAGCCCTGACATTTACACTCAACAGTCTAAACCAAACTTACTCTCTTTGTCCCAAAACTTGTTCTTCCTCTTGATCTAAGGCATGCTTCAAATCTCGACTGTCATCTTTGACTCTTCTTTCAAGTCCTATATATTCAATATCTGCAATAACTCATATTTTTTTCCTTGCTTCCTTTCCCACTTGACACTATCCTAGTTTAGGCCTCATTACTGCCTGGAAAAGCATTCTTACTGATTTCTTCACCCCTATTTGTACTACCCCCCATTCCTTCTTCACAATGACAGATTAATTTCCTTAATTCATAGACATGAGCACAGCATTCCACTATTCAAAAACTTTCAATAGCTCACTATTTCCTATACAATAAAGTTCATACTCCTTAGCCTGGTCAGTGAGTCCACAATAATTCATTAAATGTCTACACTGTGCTGGGTGTTCAAGGCCCTTTCTCTACAACCTGTCTTCAATCTGCATTTTTTTTTTTGGTTTTAGGCAATTGGGGTTAAGTGACTTGCCACATAGCTAATAAGTGTCAAGTATTTGGTCTGAGGCCGGATTTGAACTCAGGTCCTCCTGACTTCAGTGCCGGTGTTCTATCCACTTCAATCTGCATTTTTGCAGTTTTATCTCATGTTATACCCTTTCTGGCATGTTATTCTGTAATCAACCTGAAGCACTTAATTGTTCCAGGAACACATCCCAGGATTTTCTGCCATTGTACTTCACCTGGAGGACCTTACCTTGCTCATTTCTACTTGTTGAAATTCTACTCACTCTCAGGTGACTCACTCAGCTCAGGTGCCACTTATGCCCTGAGATTTTCCCTGATCTCTCCAGAATGGAAATATATTCCTCTTCAAAATTCTAATTATATTTGATTCATATCAATCTTATCCCTCTTCATCCCTCTGCAGCTGTACTGCCAACTCATCTCCACAGGACTTTCTCTTCCATGCCATAGAAACCTCTTTACCCTCGCCTACTTCTCACACTGGAGGCCTCTGCACCTGTGGCCTCACCATCTGACTGGCTGACTTCTCCTAGAGCCTGCAATTTAAGGAGGTGGCCCAGGCCAAAGATGTCTTCCTACCTCTACTGGCTACACTGCTGATTCATCTCCACGGGACTTTTTATTCCAGGTCCTTACCCAGAGTCCCTTCTCCATCCCCCACTTGCTTTTCAGATCCTGTTTGTGTGCTGTCTTTTGTCCTTGGAAAGTAAGATCCTTGAGAACAAACTACTTTCTTTCTGCTTTTCCTTGTATTCCCAGAACTAAGCACAGTGCCTAGCACATAGTAAGTGCTTAATAAATGTTTGCTGACTGACTGACATGCATTACATTCTATATTACGGTTATCTGAGCACAAGGCTTATCACCCCTACTAGAATGTAATCTTGAGAGGAAGACACACGTTTTGTAAAATATTACAGCTAGATGGAACCCTAGAGATGATGTAGCCAATCTCCTTATGTTACAGCTGATTGAACTAAGACTTTGCAGCTAAGTAATTTATAAAAAGTCACACACCTAATAAAAGCTGGGGCTACAATTCAGGTTTCATGATTCCCAAGTCCAAGGCTCTTTTTACTATCTCAAGCTGTCTTTACTACCATGCTGTCAAATTTATCTCTGTGTCTCTTTCATCCTTTGGCCTGATGTTCTCCACATATCAGACATCAGAATGGTGACAAGGGGATGTAGTCACCTAAGGTGACCTCAAAACGGGGGCATGATAGAGAAAATCCTGTGGAGATGATTTGGCAGTGCAGCCTGCAGAGGGATGAAAGTTGGCAGCTTTGGCCAGGGCCTCCTCCAAGACTTTGAAGAACCCTTCTTAATATTACTTTTTTAATAAATGCATATTAACCTGATATAACTCTACTCTGCATGGAATGAATATATTCGTTTTGTAGTAAGTAAAGTCTCAAAGTCTTGACTGGACTGTAATGCACAGAGGGTGCAATTTTTAAAACTTGTGACAGGAACGCAAATGCTCTATCCATGCACTTGGAGGTCCTTAACCAAGATTGAGTGAGTGTTGCTGAAAAAGGTCTTACTTTTAGGGCCAGCTAAAACTCTCACCTGCTTTAATTTAAGCCTATATTTTCTTCTTTTTCTGTCACAGACATGGAGAAGAATTGATTTATACCTCTTTTATAATATCCCTTTGAATAATTCAATAATCTAACAGTCAATGTGAAAAACCCCACAAAGTCCCCATCTCTGATATAGATTAAAGCATATGCTAACATAGTTTGCCAATTCTAGGATTTTGCCAGGAAATGCCAAAATTTTAAAATAAAATTACTGAGAACTATGTCAGATGTAGTTTACACATTAATTTGCAAAATTAAAAAAATAAGCTTCTTGCTTTTAAAAAACACCATTGCCAAACACTGATTAGACATTATAATATTCTTTAATTAGCATGAACCAGGTTCAAATATCATTCTAATCTATAAAATTTCTTTCATAATGCAAAAAATAAAAGACCCAAAACAACAATAAAGGAAAACATGGCAAGGCCAGTTTGAATTGAAAAGCAATTGTTCCTAACTACCTAGAACTTTGAAACTGTAAAATAAAAAAGAACTTTTTGTAACAAGATCACCACCATGTAGAAAACAAGTTGAAAAAATAGATGGGTTGCATATGTACTTACACTATGTATGTTAATTTGCCAGGGATGCGATTTTTTCAGAGTAGAAACTCCTTCAGCTAATGCAGATTGCAACCCATCTATAAGTTATCTTAAAGACTTCCTAGGGCTTATAAAAGTCAAGTTGTTTGCCCATGGCCCCACAGTTTATAAGGGAGAATTTGAACCCAGGCCATCTTCCTGACTCCAAGTCCTGCCCTTTATTTACTATGCTGGTCAGCCTATCATATAAAGTATATGCTTTGTTTCATATGTGTATATTATTCATATAAGTCAGTATCCATATATATTGTACA